AAGCAGTTGTTTACCTGCTTCCTCAAGATGCCTTTTATTTATTTTTTTAGCTCAAAGTAAACCTTAATCTTTCTTTTTCTTTCTGTTTTCTTCCCACTCTGCTCTCAGGTCAAGCAACCAAGAAAACATATGTGAGTTACAACAACCTCAGGATCTGATCTGCTTGAAAAAATAAATAAAAAAAGAATGCTTTTTGTCCTTTTATCTGTGATTTTTAAGAAGTAAAAAAAAAAAAAAGAGGAGGGAGGGGATCTCTGGAGGATCAGAGAGCGAGCGCAGGCATCGCAGCACCACCTGCAGTACCTACGCACTCCAGGAGAGCATCCGACCTTCATCCAGACACGTGGAGTCCTGACGGAGACGAGCACGGCTGTGGGCCTCAGTAACCCAACTGTAGGTTTTAAACTTGTGTCGTGCCCCCCCCACCCCCACCCCCTCCCCCGTCTCTCTGACAGAGAACAACTTGCCTGCTAAAAGGGGTCACTGTGAACGAGGACGAAGCACGGGGGAAAAAGAAAAACACACAAAAAAAAGGGACAGTGGATCTGCTTTCAAGATATCTTCTTTTCAAATGTCATTAAAGCCATATTCTCTTGGGGTTCCCATTTTCCGATTTCTGTTCTGTATTGTTTAAGTGATTTCTCTTCTGTGCCTCTTCTTGCAGTTGATTTAATTACCTTAACAGCAAGCTCTGCCACATCCAGTACTTTGTGTTACTGAAATCAACTCGAATCGGTCCCAGATGATTGTTATGTTAGAGTGATGGCCGTTGTAAGTACATATATATTTTTTTGTAAATATTCGAGAGTATTTTTCATGTTTGGAGTACAACAATATAGATATCCAGTCTTTGTTCAATAGGATCTGGATGGTAATGAGAAGCACCACAAAGTGTTCACTTTGCATGTGTCTGTTCTATTTGATGTAAACAAGGAAAACAAAAAAGAGAAATAAATTCTGAAAACGATAATAATCTTCAGCATCCTTTCAGCCGTTTGTTTTTCTTTACCAGAACTGAACTTCATTAAATGACAGAATATGGCTTTAATCTGGTGGTGAATCTCCCCCCCCCCCCTTCTCTGTATCTGCACGCATGTTTGTTTTATATAGTTTGGTACTGGGTATATTATGCCTAATCATGGTGTGGGAAGCATTACTACCAGAGCAATCATGCAAGTATGTTGTGATGTCTGTCAAATTATGAACATGTAATAAAAATCATTTTGTTATCTTTTATACAACTAAAGCAGACAGCATATCATAGTTATTTCTGTCCCTGTGCGTGCGTACGAGTCGGCGTGTTTTCAGACCGCTGCATGAAGAAGAACGATTAATCACCGCGTTTCTTTCACAGGTTCAATGTGAACCCGTCGTAAATGTCGTGTGCTGGTTTTTCACCGCCTCACCCCTCACTGAGCAGCGCTGTCATGCAGAGGAGATGAGAGAGAGGACGTCCACTGTTCGACTCCCTTTTACTCACCCTTTGCTTTCTCTCTCTCTCTCTCTCTCTCTCTCTCTCTCTCTCTCTCTCTCTCTTTCGTGTCTCACCACCAATCCCCCACATGAATAATATAACACGTCAGATCAATTTGTCCCGCTGATGGCCGGGGCCTTTACGAGCTAACCGCTCTTTATTTCTGGCCCTGCCTGCAAGCATAATGTTATTATATTCCATATTGATTATGATATAAAAAACATGAATAGGCCACGCATGAGAGACTTCTGTTTCTTCTCCCTCTAGGCTGCTACATGGCCAAATGATAGATGGCCGAGAGATGCTGATTCCCCTTTTTTGTTTGTGTGTGTGTGTGTGAGACAAAGACAGAGACAGTGGAAAGAATGGGGATGAGATTCTTACCCACAGGTTTTGTTTCAGTTGTTTCTCTTTCCATTTGTCTGGCTTCTGTCTCAGCTCCTGTGGGACCAGATGGTCTTTACTTCTCATACACACAGTCTGTCATTTTCTGTTGCACTCAGCCAAGGAAAATCCCACTTTATGCCCAATTAAGACTAGCCTCTCCCCCACCAAATTAATTGCCTGTGTCGGTGTCTGCGTGCGAGTAATCAGTCGGTGATGGTCGGGGTTTAGATTTGCAGCTCAGCAAAAGAAAAAAAGGGAGAAGAAACAGCCAAAGCTGTATTCTGGATGTTCCTGTGAGAGATGGGACCTTTGATATGCAGGACATATAAATATAAGCATGGCATTATTCAGGAATGGGTTTTTTTTTAACCCACCTAAGACAGTGTGAAGAATGGTTTGCACAAGCTCTCGGGGCTCCCGTACGTGAGGGCCCACCTGCTCAGTATGCACCTGTTCTGTAGGCAGCAGCTTCCTGGGACAAACATCAAAGGGAGGAAACTAATCATGGTGGACTGAGAGCAAGGCAACCTGCACCAGGAGGACTTGGATCTCTCGTAACTTCCAAGGACCGTCGATCGCAGATTATCATGAGCGGAACATTTGAAGTTGAACAATAGATTTGATAGACTTTTTAAAAAAAGGCTCTTAAAGGCACAGCTCACCCCAAAATCAAATATGTGTCCTCTTATATGTCAGTTTAGATAGTTTTCGTGCGAGTTGCGTATAGTTTGGGAGATATGGGGCGTGGGGAGTCTTCCTTATCTCCAATGTAGGAACTATGGTTGAAGGAAAATAGAAACTGCTCACAACAGATTCCGTGGATTGAGCGACCGGGTCGTGACTTCTGGAAAGACACATTGCTGTTTTTCAAATGCATGTTTTTTGGCGCCACAAGCCGAGCGCCATCTTGTTCTATTTGGAGAGAAGGCCGACATGTCTACAGTCGAAAACCGGGCAACTCGCACCAAAAATAGTCTGGATTGATAAACAGCACTGCCGTCCCTTCATGAGCGCTTCTGGTTTTCGAGCTGTCAGAAGTGTCTGCGTGAAAAATGCACATTTCGGCGTGCGCCCTCATGTAGACGTGCGCCACGTTCAGGCTTTCTTCTGTCTCGAGTTTTACGCATCACTTCGGGTCCGGCTCTGCCTTTTTTTTGAAGAAGAAGAAAGCCTTCCCTTATCTTGTCAGAACTCCTGATGCGCTCTTTCACAGACAATTTACTTCATCTGTTTCATGGGCTCCTGGGCCCCGGGCTCTCCTATCTTTCCATAAATGTCCAATTATCCAACTCCAGCCAGAGTGAAACCTTATCTGCTTCCCGTCAGTGACCAACTGAAGCCTGATATACAGTGGGTACGGAAAGTATTCAGACCCCTTTAAATTTGTCACTTTGTTTCATTGCAGCCATTTGCTAAAATCAAAAAAGTTCATTTTATTTCTCATTAATGTACACTCAGCACCCCATCTTGACAGA